TATTTACCATTCCCTTGTACCTATCACAACAATCAGAAAGGACCGCCAAACTGTGTGGTTCGGATGTGTGTAAATTAGCTGAACCGAACGATGTTCCATCCTAGAACTGCGTGTTCCGGAGTTAGCCCATGCTTTACACGGCCTCTTCTAGGATTCCCTTGATGTCAAATCTTTCTCCATGAAAAAATTCCATTACTTTTCATATTCCAAAGAGTGATGACCCTTCCAACCCCAAAGACTATCATCCGTTACTCTTATTTCTGTCATTTCGAAAGTCTTTGAAACCACCATCTCCGGCTAGTTGTGTGCGCCTTCGAACACGAAGGTTTGCGGAATGACCGTCAGTATGGATTTTGCCCTCGTCGATCGACGAATAACCCACAGTCTCTCATACCGCATTCCTGATAACCACGGGGAAACTCAATTGGTTTCGCCCGACTTTTCAAAGGCCAACGATCACATTTGGCACGAAGGTCTGCACTCGACATTACCTACGTTTGGATTCCACTCGTCTGTTGTAAATGGGCTGCAATATTTTCTCAATCAGAGCCGTTAAGTTCTTATCTCGGCAGATCCCGGTGAAGGCTAAAGTTCCCCCAGGTTTCATGCCTTCGCCCAGCTTTTTTCTTCTAGTTGTTAACAATCTTTTGTTGAAAACTCACTGCGTTGCCGATGATGCCACATTCTGAGTTGTTCTGTTTCATATTCCATGACCCGCTGACCACTGCCAACAATAAACACGGTGGCAACGTCATTATCGCGTCACTTGACTTCGATTTCGGGTTCACCTATGAATGAGGTTCTATCAACCATGTGTTTCAACGATTCTAACACTTCTCTCCTTTCAGTCTCACTTAAACATTATCCTTATACTCCCCAATCGATTTTCGACTCGCTTCCCCTTACTTCACAAATTCTCTCTCTACGCAGAGTTTATCCATGCATTAACCTGGCGCGATGCTCACCAACTCGGTTTGTTATTCCGCGCCGGGTGCTTCCTTAAACTCAAGCACCTTCACCTTATATGCAAAGCTCAAATCCGCCTGATGCTCGAATACTGCAATGAAGTATGGGGTAGAGCTTAGTATGCCACTCTTCCTCTTCTCGACTGTTCAATGTAAGGCCATCTGACTGATCAACGAACCGTCAGTAACTTCAAATCTGCAGTCACTTTCTAACTGCCCGGCAGTTCTTCCCATATCTCTTTCCTATTACTTCGGTTTCTGCTCTTCTAAACTAGCCTCGGTGGTCCCCAGTTATCTTTTTCATGTTCATCCCGGTCTCAGGCGGGTAGCCACGCTTATCAGGTTTCTGTTCCCGTATGTCGGACTTCCAGTCTACTTTTGCCCAATATTGTGAAATTGTGATGCACTCAGTCCATCCCGTATTTTTAACCATTTATCATCTTACTCTTTAAAAAAGTAAAACTAGCAACCTGGTTCTCCCATAAATGTGCCCCCACATACATCCTCGGTTACATCATGGCTTTGACTATAGGGTTTATCTTATGCTATCGAATGTTTATGTGCAATTAAAAAACATTGTTGTAGCTCTTCTTTCGACTCTCTATAATTGTCTGTTCTCTACGTAGTCTTGTTTTATGTCCCAATAGTCATCAGACATACCAACCGTTACCAGAGTGGTTACATACGAGACCCGAGATTGGTTTTGTATAAGGACAGTACGGAGCAGTATCTCAGAAACGTAAAATGTCGACGATTTCGGGCAAAGCGCAGCGGTTCTAAGATTGACCAAATAAAGATTGACCATTCAAAATTGAAAGTTTACGGTTAGAGAAACACCTAAAAAATAAAAAAATTCGAATTCCGTATTGTACATTTACTAGCACTGTCACTGTACTCCTACTTTAAAAACCTCTACTGTAATGAATATTTTTGAAGTAAATTTTGTTTCAGAAACACCTTAGTAGACAAGCTTGTGGGACCAAAAATAACGGCGTGATTGTATAGGTTAGAGCCCAAAAAGATGGGCATCAATAGCGAATCCCAAATTCACCATGGACAATCGCATAAGGATCAACGGTTTGAGTTCAGTCTTGCAACGCATTCCGCACAAATGACGGAATCGATCAGGTCTGTGAAAGTTATCATATGTAATATGAGGGAAAGAACACGAGATGAACATCATGTTTTGTTGTTTAAACTTACCAATCGAAATGCACTTGGTTCTCGTGAACCACAACCCGGAAATGGTACACACCCTACGTGACTCAGCTGTGACGTAGTTTAAGTTTCTTCATTTTTAAATCTTGCTCTAACAGTCGCATCGCCACGCCCATATGCTAAATCATTATACGTTCAAATGAGCATCGGGGCCAAGAAACAATGGCTCCCTTCACCCCACCCCACCCCCTCGTCCTTCTATTGGCCGGCACATGTTTAGCTACCAAAAACCGTGGACTGAGCGGTAACCACAAGTGGGATGACTGATTTAGGCGTTGCACTGAGGGATGGGATTGACACAAGAAAGTCATTGATAGGCTGAACGGTTTGAAATGATTCGATAAAACCGAGGCATAAGTGACTGAAGATGAGACTGACGGTACTTACTGGCTGAGATCCAAACAGAGACCCAGGTCTGCAACGATTGCGGTATATCGTGGTCGGGAGTTCGCAACCCAGGTGGTCTGCTGCCAAATCGGTACCACAGTAGGCAACGAACGGAAAAGACTTTCGCGTGTTCCCTTGATGTCAACCAATGGATTGGAATCTCCATTTCGTAGGTCCCAGTCAACTGTAGAGGAATTGGAAGACTGATCACCCATATATTCGCCCCCCTGGTCCAACATAGGACTGACTTTAGAGGACGATGAACAGAAAGAGGTGCCAGACGACCCCTCTTCTAAACATCGAAAGTTGTTAGAGGGGCGAATGGGATGTCCTGGTCGGCGGTATTTAGGATCGTTGAGATATTCAAACTGGAAGTGTGCATCAGAAACGAGAACATTCTGTCCAACACGTAAACCATAAGGAAGCTGAACTGGGGAACCGAAGTCTTTGCTATCCCACAGGGGACATGGAGTCACACGAATGAGTATGTTCTGAAGAGAACCAGAGAAAAAAGCAAGAAAACGCATTGTTAAGCGAAACGGGGAGTTGAACGATGTGTAGGGCATTTTACCTGTACAAAAAAGAAGAATCGGTCAACAATCATGCACATATTCCACATTCGACTGTTGTCAGTGCGAAAACCAGTTCACAGCCACCATTAGAATGTAACAACAACAACCTGTAACATGAAGAATACGAAAATGTTGATTAATTCGGTGAGTATCTAGTTCCGCGACACAATACAATCAAATCCATTTTCCTATGTGATATGAATCAAATTTATGGATTGCGACACATAACATCTATCAGACGTATATCACACTCCACACTACCTTGTGTTTCCAGATCTAAAGTTATTTTATGACGACACAAAAATGATTTGCATCGGAATTATACAATATGAACTGAATGTGGAGAACATTCTGAATAAGCATTATGGGAATCTTAATCTAAAGGTGAGGCGTGAATTGATTGAGGAAAAAAATATTGAGTAAAATCCGGGTTTAGATAGCTGACAAAGACGCCTAGCGGCAACCGTCTTCTAACGGTAGTATTGTAAAAATTATAGAACTTTTTCCACTAGATTTCACTTGAACGTTCACGTCCACAAAATGTTAGCCTTTGTGTGTTTTAATTCCTAATTCACACGGTCCCGTCATAAACACATCCGTGCTCAATGCGAGAATGACAGGCGTTTAGCTGCCTTTCAGTAATATTTCTTACGTACCGGACACCTTGGACGTTTGACCGCGTCCAGAGGGCGTACGATCCGCGGTGTTGCTTGTGTTGGGATTGCGCTAAGTGTCAAGGCCTAGCGTTTTCCTCTCGATTGGATCCCGGTTAACAGCCGACTTTCAGCCGTACGCCTGGTTCAGTAAGCGTCAATAGCTACAGAACGAAGCGTCAATACTTATTCGTCGTATCCACGTATGCACCGACATATTGCAGTTCACCAGAAATAAAGGATGAGTTCTACAAGGACCTCTC